CCTTTTTGGGTGCAACAAATTTTCCTCATTTCCTCTCTAATCTTTCTACTGATCACTTTAAATCTCTACCTCTTAGGTCATATCCATTCTAGCAAAGTCCCTCACAACCGTTTACGTGTCAAATCTCCCCATAAACCATTTCTATTCCAAGGAAAACAATCCCAGCTTTCCTAATCTTTCCCAAAAGCTGCAGTTTCCAATCTTGAAAACATGCTCAATACTCTTCATAACTCTCCAGATAGAATATCGTTCCACTAATGAGATGATCAGAACTGTATGTAGTGCTCAAGTTGTGGCCCAACTAGTGTTTCATATATAGCTCCTTCATAACCTTGGGCTGTACACCTCAGATGGGACTTCTTAACCACCTAATTGACATGTCCTATAACCTTCAGCAATCTGTGTACATACTTCCCAGCTTCCTCATTTCCTCTGCAACTCATGTATTCCTTTGCCTTACTTGACCTTCCCAGTGCATCACCAATCTCTGGATTGGATTCCATTTGCTACCTCTCTGCCTACCCAACCAATTAATCAATATTTTCTTGTAGCCTACAGTTTTCCTTCTCAACCACACAACAAAATTTGTGTCGTACACAAACTCCTTGATCGTACTACTACATTTAAATCCAAATTATAAATATACACCATAAAAAAAAAAAACAGGTGGCCTAGTATACACCACTCTGGAAGCCCACTGTAAACCGCTTTCTTGTCACAAAAATATCAAATAATTATTACTTTCCTGTCGCTGAACCAATTTTGTATACTGCTTCCTGTAATACCCTAGATCCTAAGGCCTTTTACTTAAGAAAATGTTTGCCATAAGGGTGACATGTAAAAATCATTGCTAAAATCTGTATAGATCTCAATGGCAATATCCTTATTAATCCTTATGGTCTCAAAAAAAAAATCACCAAGGTAGTCAGAAATAATCTTCCCTTAACAAATCCACACTAACCCTTCTTAATATACAGTATATTTTAGTAAATGACACTTTATCATGTCCCTCAAAATCAATTTCAATAATTTCCCCATTATTAAGGTTATACTAACTGGTCTGTAATTATTCAACGTATCCATTACTCCATTTTTAAAGAAAGATACGATGTTAGCAGTGCTCCAATTCTGTAGTAATTCACCTACAACAAATGAGCATCTGCTATTTCCTTCCTTCCAGTTTAGTCTGGTATACATTTCAACTGGCCCTGGTGATGTATCCACTTCAAAGATGCCAATCCCTCTAATAATTCCTCTCTCCCTATTCAAGTGTTCGCACTCCTCCTGAATTATAATGCCTACATAACGCCCATCCCCCTTTTGTTAAGGCAGATACAATGTATTCATTAAAAACCATGCCCACATCCATCTACACTGTTATCCTTTTTTGTTTCGTTATGGCTCCTATTCTTTCCTTAGCTGTGCACTTACTCATATTGATAAAATAAGATGGGGTTATCATTGATTTATTGGCCAACATGCTTTAATCGCTTTTCATTGCTTTCGTAAATTTCCTTTTTGTTTTCACTTCTGCACTTTGTGAAGTCCTCTCGGTTTTCAGCAGTTAGTGTCCCACCCATTGTACCCGTATTCATCTCAGCATCTGGGTATATCTAGATTTCCTTGGTAGAAACAGGTTTACTTTGAACCCGTTTGAATTGATGAACACTGATTTGCCTTCAAATAGTGGTTTCCAATCCATTTTTGCTAAATCAATTGCCAGTTTAAGAAAAGGTTGGCATTACCCAACTTTGAAGTTCAAGTCCAATTTATCTTTCCTGTTTTCCAATATTGTCAAAACTATGATAATTAACACCAAAATGCTCACCTATAGTTGCTTCTTCCACCTGCCCAGCTTCATTTCCTAAAATCAAGTCTAGAACATGGCCAATTTTGTTGGATTTGCTACATTCTAACCAAAAAGGCTCTCTTGAAATCACTTCGAAAATTCCCTTCTCTCCATTTCTTTCAAACTACAATTTTTTTGCAGTTAATATTAGGGTAGTTAAGATCCCTTCTTACTACTTGTTTGTTTTACAAATCCAAGATTTGCCTACATTTTTGTTCTTCTGCCTCCTCATAACTGTTTGAGAGTGTATAGTACATGCCCAGTGGTGTGACTTCCCTTTTTTGTTTCTTAGCTCATTCCTTATGACCTTATTTGATGATCGTTCTGTCACAGATTCTCACAGATCTAATTGCTTTTTGAAGTATTAGGACAGGTGCTCAAAGATTTGAATCAGAAAGGTACGTTTTAAGAGGACATACAGGGTTGGGAGGTACAGGGAGAGAACACCAAAGAGCTTAGGCCTTGGGGCTGAAACTAAAGACACCTCTGTTGCAGTGATGAAAATTGGGAATATCCAAGAAACCAGAGTTAGAGGATGTTGCTATTTCAGAGGCGTGTAGTACTTAAGGAGATAGACAGATTTTGCCACAAGGACAAGAATGGTAAAACTGAGGCATTGTCCAACAATGAGCCAAAGTGGGTCAGCAAGCATAAAAGGTGATGGAGAGAGAGACTTGGTGCATCTTAAGATATTAGCAACAGTTCTTTTGATGAGCTCAATTTACAAAGGGTTCGGGCCAGATGAACAGTGAATACTCTGCACACAAACCCAATGCTGCTCCTGTAAGCAAAGGGGGCATCCAATATTTGTGTTTGGATTTTACTTAAAATGTTAGGTTGCAGGCAACTGCTATGTGCTTTTAGTACCTAATCAATGCAGATACAATCTTTTGAGTCACTATTGGTAGTAACCCTTGGATGGATCTGGGAAAGTTAAAGGTAACACGATTGAGGGCAATTGGAGCAAAGACCAGCAATGGGCTTCAGGTCTACTGCACTCCACAATTTCTTGCCTGTCTTCTAGCCTTCCTTTGCTGTGTGCATTACTGTAATGCTGTGAAAATCTTTTAAAAGCAGCAACTATAATATGATTTTGAATGCACACAAAACCAAGGAATACAATTCAATCCCTCTTTTGGGGAAGACAAAGAAAAAATGTGTGTGTTGGTGATTCACATCGCTGGTAAATCTTGTATAATTTTGACTTTGGATAACTGCAAAAAGAGATATCAGCTTGGCCATCCATTAATGGAAATAAAAAGATTGTAAAACGGGCTGCCATCTCATTCCTGTCCATTTAATACTATTACATGAAGATCTGTCCCTGTGTTTATTTAACAGCCTGTGTTAACATGCATATTAATAATTTGAAGAGTATTTGCAGTGCAGCACGATAACGCTTTCAGAGGTAGCTTCAGTTGTTGCAGGTTGTACAGCATGGATTCATAGTACCAGATCATAAATTCAAGTTTCCCTGTATAATTACAATAACCACACTACATTGTGTGAAGTGCTTTGAGAAATTTCTTTGGCGTGTAAGATATGAAGAAAAGCTAGTCTTCCTTAAAAATATTTTTTAAGCAATTGCAAGACAAAATTCTGAATTTGTAAAATATTAATGAAGTCTCAAAAAAATTTTAGTTCCACTTTATAAAACGGAACTAAGCCTTAATCCAACTCTGAACTTCATTGTTCAAAGCGCCGTTAACTCCAGTAATTGCTTAAAGTAGCATCACATTGGAATTGTGCTGCAATTTCCTTTTCTCCCCGCTGTTGAAACTAAAACTCTCAACCTATATGTATTTGTGATCAATATCTTCAACATTCAGATTAAAGATACCTTGGTCATCTGATCAAACAGTTAAGCTTTCCACTTAGATTAACAAAAGTCTAATTTTCCTGATTCTTTTTCCTTCAGTCAAAAGGTGTAAAGAGTGTGAATAATTGGGTAGTGATCTATAATACTCAGCTTCTGTTCCCTTTACAGTGGCTTGAGAAGAAAAACAGAGGGATAGGAAAAATTCATTGTACAGTTCACTAAACATCCAATAAAGCAGGGGGCGGCCCTGTGCACATTAGACATCAAAACTGGAACATTTAACAAATGACTAAAGATTGCAGCTTTAGATATCCAAGGCCCCTATCTGAAACAGATAAAAATCACTTAACGCAAATAGAATCTTAGTTCCTGTTTCAGGAGCCACCTCTATAAATTAAAGATGCAACTGTTACTAGTACAGTGTTACATTCGAAATAGTCACATCTACATGTCATCTTGGAAACCAGTGGGGCTCACTGGAAAACAATTAGAGTTCAGTGAAATACAAATGTCTAATAGTAGAGCCTGAAACAACAGCAGTCCCAAAGGCCATTGCTGGTTTTGATGAATCGCTTTGGTAACAGCCTCCACCTAACCTTTCCACGGTCCACCCCTAAACACCTTCACCCCTCCCAAAACCTCAGAGGATGGCAGCCAGTAGTGATCAATAAGTTTACATCTGCTTTGCCAGCTTGAAGCACTTAGCAGTGGTCTGCAGCCCACTGGTCTAGTTTAAAAGTGGCCTAGTATCCAGTAAGTGTTTTTTTTTGTTTTTGCATTGTTTCTAATCAACCTGCTCAGAACTGTGATAGAAGAGCTTTATCTGGAGTACTTCGTATTCCAGACCACTCTAATTTGGTGCAAGGATTGTTCCTTGAACCCAGTTTGTACTTACCTTTGTTATCCAATTTTACCTCAAGGATGTTGGAAACATACATTCCAGTTCTATAAAAGGCTTTGTAAACAAAGGTTTTGTTTTTTTTTTAAAGTTAATAAATGAAAGAATACAAGTTTTACAGCTACATATAGCACATCAACTGGGAAGCTATTTTAATAACTTCATTTATTTTACAATATTGTGCTATTATAAATGTATTGAAGGACTTGTTGGGTTTGCCTGGTACGTCTTATACAAAAGACAGAACAAAATTAAATAAAGTAATAATAGTAAAACAATACATAATTTGTAATAGCTAACTTTATACAGTTCTTTTGAGACTCCTGCAGCTTTTCCAAATTTTCAGTAGGCAATTAGGAAAACGTCTATACTTTCAATGTAAAAATACAATGATGCGAGTTAGGTTGTTGGACAAAATAAGACAAAGCAGGCTGTTGATGCCTTTACCACTTTTATTTCACCATGAAGAAACATACATTCAACATTTATTACATTGCAGCAAAAAAAAAAAAAAATCGTACCCTTTAGTTAGCTGTGTGGTCTTCTGCAAATTATAAATGCATGATGATTTGAAAGCTTTCAATGGGGTTTGCAATTATTTTCTGTTTCATTTAAGGCTTTGCTCAGAATCTGGAGTCTACGCAGAGTGTTTAAAAAGAATCATTGCTTTTATACTCAATGATGAGAACGGAAGGTCACAGGTAGTAAACAAAAGAAATTCCTTCCAGAGCAGACACTTTCACTTGCAACATAAACCGACCAAAACAGACACTCAGTTTAAAAAGGAATACTGACATCTCCTTTTCTAAGGGAAGTAAACATTGACAACTATTGATGGATTAATCTACCTGGCCTTTTGGTTCTAACTTAAAAGATGTGCTCATCTAACAAAACCAAATTGTTCAAGTAAAATATATAGTTATTATATATATATATAATATTTCTTTAAAAAAAATCTGTTAGGTGACATTAAATTATGCCAACAAAGCACAAGATGCAGCAAAACAACTTGTTCTAATCTGTGTAAGGTTATTCATGTTTTCACAGGCATTACCATTGTATATCAAGGTTTCCAGTTATAAGCTTCAAGTTGCTTAGTATGATAATAGATATGGACTTACACTGCCATTGGCACATCTACTGTAAGGTATGACATAATCCTTCAATACAATTAACCAGATTTATGGTGAAAATTACTGTGTATAAATGAAACCAGGTACAATTAAAATGAATTACTGCTGACTTATTATCTTAAATATCAGCTATAGACTTTTTAAACTGGCAAAGAAAGGATTCCACCCGTGCCCCCAACCCAGCTTCCTTTTAAACATTAGTGCTCCAATGTATCCTTTGCCTTTTAAACTTGCTGATAAAATGATAACTTAAGAGATGTTGACACCTTACTATGTGGATTTGGAAAATGCTTTTCTCATTATTCCTGTTGTGACAAAGGTTTATTCTAATCATGCAATATTCATCTGCTGTTTCGATATGCTGGAATGAGGTTTTTTGCCAATGTTTTTATTAGTGAAAGGGGTCCTCATACAACGTGCTCCAGTATGCTTGGTGTGAAAGGTCATTAGTGGATGGATTCAGAACAAATGAAGTCATGTGTATGACTCCATTTAGACTCCAAAATCATTCCTAATGATGTGTATGCATTACTTCTTTCATGAAGATGTGGTTACTCCTGGAAAGGAAAATGAAACATGAAGTCCATTAATGAAACAGATTAATTGGAGGATTATCAATAACTTTGTAGAGAAGTATCAAAATTCATAGAATACGCAGTATGTTTTCAATGTTACTAAGTTACATTGTTAAAATTGCACAGCTTTTTAAGAGTGACAAGTATATTACAAATCCTCTCATGTTTACAGTTTGATACAGTAGAAAAATATAACAACGCAAAACTAGAACCCAGCATGAGGGAGAGGAGTCTCACTCAAAAGAGAAATAGAAAATGCAAACTTCCAGAAAGGTCCATAACAGCAAAATGCAGTGGTAAGTTACTAGGCAGCCAAATAAATCAAACAAAAAAAAAAATTGATAAACAAGTAAGAGGTTGCAACGTATTTTTAAAATGATGCTCAAAGTTAGATCTTTTTATGCGATGGCAGGGTTTTGCATTATTGGATCAAATTATAGCAATCCAACATGGGATGTTGCTGCATGATGCATTTTTTGGTGAGCCAACAGTGTTTGTTTTTCAGTACACTTAATGATTGGCGTGGTTTGAAAAGTATAGACATCTCTTATTATCTGGGCACATGTTTGCTCAGGGAGATGCTTTTCATTGACTTGTAATTTGCTGAAACAGTAAACCTTGAGATGAACATCAATTTGATTGGTGTGTAATCCAATCCTTCAATGATGAATTTACAATCAAACTTGCTGGAGCACTTATTAGAATACATCACAGCAAGTACAATGGTGATTCACATTCTGAAGCTGATGGTTAATACATTAATCCTAAGTGCTAATGGACATGAAGCTAATCAAATCTGACAATCTCCATTTTGGGCATAAGTATTTAAATTAATTATTGGAGTTTTTAAAACAACTTTAACAAGTACTAAAGCATAAGCAAATGAACAAAACTAGCTGATCAAGGATCTGCCGAAACCTGCGTAAATCCTTGACCAGAAAATAGATCCAGGGAAGGTACATGGACATCCACAACGAACTCATTTAAAAGGACAGTGTGTTCCAGGGCAGTGTGCTTTTCAACCATTCAGCTGCTTTTGTTTGGGATGAGGGTTGGGTTGAAGAAAAGGGCATGGGTTGCCTTAACAGTGCACACTCTACAGAAGTGTAGAACCACTGTCAAAAATTTATTGTATTGCGTGTTATCTGCACACAAATTGACTCTCATGGTTGTAGAGGTTGCTGGCAGTCTCAGTGGAGTAATGACCCATAAATTTACTGTCATGACTTCAAAATTCAATACCCCAGTGATAGAATCATTGAGGGGGTCCTGTAACTTTAAAAAGGGGTTTGGTTTTGCCATTTGTATATACCTACCTCAATTTCTGTCTTTTGCTTAATATTGAATTCTGTTTATTCTACTCAATATAATTGCCAAATTTAATTACCAATCACTAAGACAAGGCCTTTTTCAATTGTTGAAATTATCCAATTAAAAGATGCAGTCATTTGCTTTCAGTGAAAATCACATCAGCACCAGGTCACGGAATTGCACTGATCCAGTTTAAGGTGAAACAGCAATTAATTTTAGAGTGGCACAAGGGGTGGGCAATTTGGAGAGGGAAGCTGTGATAATGGAATTCTATTTTTGTGAGGGTCATGAACAGGAGCAGAGAAAATGTTGGTATTGTGCAAGTAATGGCTTGAGTAACCTATACCAATTATTTTGCAAGATTTGTCTTGGCATATGTTGTAGCCACACAAGTACTATGGCACAAGTTTCCAGCAATTTCCAGCCAATGTAAACTAGCACTAAATCATGTTTTTCAAATAAATCTTTTGCATAAAGTTAATTTTGTTAATTATCTTTCTGATTTTGATGGAGAAATAACAACAACAATTTCTGGTTCATATCAAGATTTAAATGGATTTTTAAAGAAGTATTTTATTAGTTTAAGCTAGAATTAAATAAAAACACTAAATGAAAGGATCATACAATTTCCATACATTGCATTTTTAAAGTTTTGCTGGGAGTTAACCACTGACTTCACAGAATATTTTACCCACAATAAAATATGGTCAAGGAAAGCATGGGCTTAATACATAACAAAGTTTTACTCCCAGATAAAAAATGAAGTGGAAATGGCATAAAAATGATATGATTTAGGACATGCAAAAGCATAGTAGAAAGACACATCAGTGGAATTGTGGAGGGCGGGACTTGGTTTCTTTAAATAACCATAAGCAGGCATACAAATCACTCTCTAACCCACAGTTTTCTATTATAGAGTGCTGCTAAGTCAATGAACTGTCTCTCAAGCTCTCCGTACCCATACTAGGAAATACTTCTGTATCACTTATGATCACATATTTTTCTCCTTCTCAAGTTGAGTGAACATAGCAAGATAGACCAGGGCAAATTGCAGATTTATACAGGTTGACAATTAGTATTGAATAGTATTCATCTGTAGCCAAAACCCTAACTTCTCAGACCTGAACCCTTTACACTGCATTTGTCTCAAATGTATAAACAAAAAGTCATCCTAGGAAATGTTAAACTTCACTCAAGTGACACATTTAAGTACTCATTAATTAGCCCTGGGGTTTGAGCTTAGGAAACAGATTAATAAACTATTTCAGCAATATAAAAAAAAAAGACTCACTAGATCAGCATCAAGCAATTTTACTTTCTAATATATTCTGGACCCAATTTGATTGACAACCATTACATTATAAAGGCAACAGTATACAAATTAGATCATAACATTTAATTTGGAAAATTAATGTGTCAGTCAGTGCACCAACTTGCTTCCATACACTATAAATCTACTCCACAGTAATCTCTTATCCCATCCATCTAATCCCTTGAAAGAAAGGTCTGAAAAATATTTTTTGATCTCCAAAAACAATTCAGTAAATAACAGGATCAGCTCCAGTACCATTATAACTGACTAACTAAACTGGTACCAATTTGTTTTTCATTGTCAACTAACAATTGTGAAGAAAAGATGCACATGATAAGTTGTAAGATTTTACATTGAAGTAAACATTGTGTTCAATTAGTTGTGACTGAACACATTACAGAGCATCCCAAAGCACTTGCCTATGGGTTATAGAGTTAAGTGGCAAATTAAAATCATAGATGTGCGGAGAGCACTACGGTACTGCACAGCAGCTTGTAAAATATCAGGCGGATGCAGTTTGTTCTTACCTGTGGTCAATCATCTCCGTCTTCTGGTGTGATCTCTGTCTCTTTGTGTACCACTACTTTGATCACAGACATATCAGGGTACTGCTCTTTGACCTCTTTAATTGCCTGAGCCAGGGCCTAACCCAAAGAAAGCCCCCGAGGTATAAAAACAGTAGGTGGGACATGCATGATCAGAAGCAGGATGGAGAATTATGATGACTTTTTCTCAATTACTTGATTGATGGAAATGATTGAAAGAAAAAACTTTAAAATTTCTACCGGAAGGAGCAGTAAGTCACACAATTGTAAGCTAAACATATGAATTTGACCTCATCCCTCTTGAATGTTGATTTAATTTTCATTCTGTAGTAACCTGTAGCATTTGAATGTTCCACTAGCTTCCATATTCATTGTGCCACAATAAGCGAACTTTTTGTATTTGCCCAAAACTCTGGCACAGCAGCTGACATTTGCTGGGACTGCTTACACACTCGCTCATTTACACCCACACTCCAACCCTTCCTCCCCCAAAAGCTGCAGAAAAATGTTCATGAATGAATTTGTGAAATCTGAAAGTTATTTCTTTATTCCATTCATGGCTTTGGCCGCAAACTTACTAGATTAAATTAATCTACCCGATGGGCCATACCATGACTTACAGCTCCTTTAATTTGAAATGCAGTTGCTAAATTAAATTACAAAGCATGCAGATTTTAATTCCTTTTTGCTACTAGCGTTTCTGTATACTAGATTAGTCTTTTAGATTAAAAGAAAAGCTATTTTACTTAGTAGCCTATTTAGATGCAAAGTGACCATACTTCAAGTGTGAACCTACCTGATCATGGTCAATGTCAGCATCCCCTGTGATAACAATTCGTTTTTCAATACGTGTTTCTGAAACTCCTCCTTTCACAGTCTATAAACAGAAAGTTGAATACAGTTAAGGTTAGATAAACCCTCATTACAATGAGTTCACTAGGGGTATTTACTGACAGGAACTGCACAAAGTTATAGGCTAATACCCTATAAATTAGGTTTTCGCAATTCTAATACACTTCCTACAGTGGCAGTACAGTCTTGTGACACAGTGGACATGAGTCCTGAGCCACAAGTTCTGGGTTTAAGTCACACTCCAGAACTTTGATGGCAACAGAGGAAGGTATCACGAAGGGGACTGACACTGCACTCTGCAACAATGATCTAGTCATCATGATCCATGTCAACAGCAATGGCACAGGCAGGGCATGAGGAGCTAGGCACAAAATTAAACGTTGAACATATTTCGGGCAAATAAGATTAAATATGATAACTAATACATGGTTTAAATGCTGGAATGCCAGAAATTGGTTCCAGTTCATGGGGCACTGGCATAGCACTACTGAAGAAAGCGGGATGTGTACCCTCGGGATTATCTACACCAGAACCACGCTGGAGCCAATGGTTTAATAAGCCACCTAACCAGGGAAGTAGACAGGTTTTAAAGTAAATAGTTTGGGAGGTGTTGGGGAGGGAGGGGGGAAAAGGGAGAAGGGATTAAATTTGAGAAGATGTGGAAAAAGTAAAGATGCAAGGCAAGAGAAAAGGTATTAATATTTAATAAATGGACTGTAATAGGAAAAGGTACAGATTACAAATCTGAGTAAATCGACAGATAAGGCTAGAGGTTCCAAAGAAGAGAACAATGGTAAATAAACTAAAAAGGTCTGTATCTGCATTCTGAGTATTCAAAACAAAACAAAACAAATGAACAGATAGCACAAATAGAACTACATCCTGTATGATCAGATAACTATGACAAAGACATGGCTGGTATTCTCTTAGTAAAGGTTTGACAGGCCAGGCCTGTATCTGCTGGAGCTTAGAAGGGTAAGAGGTGTCTTTGTTTGAAGCACAGAAGTTCCTGAGGGAGTTTTGACAGTGTATATTTGGAAGTGATGTTTCCTTCTGTGGGAGAATCTAGAACTAGGGATTCTTGTTTAAGCATCAGGGATTGACCTGATTTGAACCACAGATGAAGAGAATTTATTTCTCAGAGGTCCGAGTGTCTTGGGGATGCTTTTACTCGAAAGACAGTGAAAAGAGAACCTTCGAATAGTTTTAAGACAGAGGCAGATCAGTTCTTGATACCCAACAGGGTGAACATTTAGCAGAGGCAGGCAGGAATGGGGAGTAATCAGATCAGCGATCATCATACAGAATGCTGAAAGAAGCTCGAGGGTGAGTGATGATGGATGGCCTCTACTAATTGATGAGATGACAATTGTAAGAAAACCACAAGAGGAATCTCAAGATGCTATGAACTAGAATTCATGACCACAAATAATTGTTCAAGCAGAATCTGGAAACTCTGATTAACTGCATTAAGTATTGTGTACTGGATATCAAGTCCAGAGTTACTTTTTAAGAGAAGTGCAGACCATAAACCTGTTCCACGGTTACTGTTCTCTTATGTAAAGCTCCAAACAAATTTACAGCTGTCTCTCTGAATTTCATAGGCCATATTCCTCAGTGGAGCACATCTTCTGGACACAATTTATTTTCATGGCACCAACAGTATCAACCTCAAGCTATTATAAAACACTACCTAGGTGCATAGTATTTAATTATGTCATGATACACAAATTCATGCACAGGTTGTGGGATATCAGTGTTCCTCACAATTCCAATATATCATCATTGCCGTTCTAACTGCACAAGATGTCACAACCGACTGAATCCCTTCCTAGTAAGGCAAAGATACCCAGACACATCTAATACATTGAAATAAATCTACAGACAGTAAATGAGAGTACTGGCAGGTCTAGGAAACCTACTTCAGGTACAGGTAGGTCTCTCTTTGATCAGAGCAGTTCAATCTTTAAACTCCCTGACGACAAGAGGCGTTCATAAACAATATGTGGGATAATATCTTAGAGTATTGTCAAGACGTGTTGTAACACAAAAAGAAGTTCTCAAAAGTGGAAAGAAAATACAAAAGACTGTCAAACGAAAATGGAAATGGGGAATTTTGTGTACAGTGAGGTCTGGGCTGCAAGATCAAGCTGCAAATTCAAAACCTATTCTAAAGTTAGCTGTTAAAATGGAAATCAAAATACCTTAGTGATGTGTGTAGTGGTTGTAGTGCTTGAAGTTTCTGAGGTGATCGTTTGAGCGCTCATTAGAACTCCTGGGTCACTGTCAGCTGTCGAGTCCAACTGACAAAAGGAAAAGAAATTCTGATGAAATTTACCAACCAATTATTAGAAACAACTGAAGCTGTAGCAAGAAAAAAAAAATTTGCCCCAGTTCTCTGAATGACATCTCTTTAAACAGACCTTCTTCCTACAGTTAAAGAACCTAAGCAAAAATATTGTAATGAACAGTAACAAAGATCCCTGTTGGAAGTTCGTATTTATTATTAATTGCTCATCATTAAAATCTCTCCTCGAAACAGAATTCGCAAAAGTTTGATTAGCAGAAGTAAGCGGACTGAACTTTGTAACTTGAAAAGTTTTAGTTATTATTATTTCTATTCTTTTCTATCATAATTTTCACGTCATTTAAATAATAGGCATTGTTTCTTTTCCAGGGTCAACAGTGGTCCATCACATATTGACTTTCCACTCCCTGGGTTAGCTACGACACTGAAAATTTATCCACTTGTCTCATTTGTTTATATTTCAATATCAAAACTGCTTCTATCAGCTACAGGCTTTCACAACTGCAGGTGAAGCTCCCTCCTTTACAGTATTAAGACAGATGTTTTACATTTTTTCAAACACATTTAATAGCACTAGCTGGCTACTTTAACCTTGCACTTTGTGTTAAATTCCTTCATGCCTGTCGTATGAGCTACACAGATTTTCCACCCTACTTGGGTTTCTATCAGTCATAGCCCATTTGTGTCTCCCATGCAGTCACAGCTGCGTCCCTGCATTTTTGACACATTTACTGCAGTAGCAGCCCATGTGCTGGCTACATAACAGCCTCACTGACAATGATACTAATATTACTTCTCAACTCTATTGAAATTCTTCTCCACGTGTGGAATTCTAGCTATTAACTATAATACCTGGTCAAACATTTCTCTGGACCGATTTGATACCAGCATTGTCAATTGTTTTTAAATTCTTGATGCTCCCAAAATGCACAAATATACATAAATTAAGTAATATTTTAGTGTATGTTTATCAATACTAAGGTAAATTGACTAGAGGTTACTAAAATTTCCTTTAATTTGCTTGTGCATAGCACTAAATTGTTAAGTAAATAGAAAGAATGGTGATGCACAAATTAGCAAGGAAAACCCCCATTAAACAAATAATACCAGGACCAATTTTTTAAAGATTATTTTTATGTAAACTACAAATGGTAAAACAAAGAACTGCAGATGCTAGAGATCTGAAACCAAAACGAAATTGCTGGCGAAACTCGGCAGGTCTGGCAGCATCTGAGCAAAGAAAGCAGAGTTAAAGTTTCGAGTCCAGTGACTCTTCATTAGAACCTATTTCTCCAGCAATTTGCTTTTATGCACTGCACAAGGCTTCCCTCAACAAGTATGTTACCTTGGATGATTCATAGGTGATTGTTTTAGTCTCGGTATGAACTACAGGCACATCCTTCGTGCAAATCTCCTTCCCGTCCTCCTGACTCATACTGCCAAAACTGACAGTTTCTGTTTTCACCACAGGTGGCTACAGGGAAAAGGACAAACAAAACTCAAATGTAAGCAAATCTCAAGGCATTTTCATTCCCAGCATTCATAAACTGATCCTTTCATAATATTATACATGCCATATCAGTTTTAACTTGATTTTACAAGGAGGGATTTTTCTTCCTACTTGGAGAGGCACTAGGAGAGTGCTGCATATCAACTTGCCCCAGTACTGCATTATTGTTTCTGGCATTTGTTGTTGAGTGATGGAATTCACAAAAAATGCTGATAACCATTGGAGACCTGTGTGTTTACATTGGGTATTTCCCAAAACATGGTGCCTCAAACTAGTGACACGTTATCATTCCACATTTTTATGGATCTATGATACTTTATCTCTTAAGGTCCAACCAATTAGGTCTAGGAACTTGGGAATAATTTTTAACTGGCTCCAGTTCTAAGAATACTCATAAGGTAGCAGAGGTCTTGATTATTACTGAAGAAACATTTTGTTATCAAAATAAACATTTTATTTTTCCATTGTTTTACTGTCATGTTATTAGAATTTCAAGTGGAGTTAACTGGAAAAATAAGGAGATCAAGGGTTACGTGGAAAAGACATACTTGATAGCCAAACAGCCTAATTATGCTCCACTACTTCATGGTCTTTTTGGCCTGGATTTTGCAATGAATGTTAAACTGTGAGCATCTGTCATTACTTCTCTGAACTGAAAGCAATTTCTGGAGCCAACACACACACACAGTTAAAAGCAGAAATTTAAAAATTTACTTTCATGACTGCACACTTCACCAGATGTGTGACTGAAGTCTTTGTAGACTGCAATCGATTAGAAATGACCAAATGGACAAGAATTTTCTCTTTTTGCTTTGTAATATTGCTGACTAAATCCATGAAAACATTATGCTTTATTGCAGAGGTGTAATTAGCCTATTAGTATGCCAAGAAGCTTTATTTGTGTAATGTCAAATTTGCTGTTCTGATTAAAAGATACGTTAAATAACAGAGATTTTAAGTTTGATATTCCAACTTCCATTGCGCAAGGCACAGGAACTTACTACCTTTTCTTCAAAGTGTATCAAAAAGTTAAGGATAATCAGTCCATTTTAGTTCTTGGTTTGCTACTGTCATCTTGCTATTTTGCACACTGATCAGTAGGGTGCACACTGATCAGTAGGGGTCTTAATCATTTAGCTACATCCAAAAATAAAGTAAGCTGCTTTTTATTTTTGCCCAGAGGATCCAAAAGAAAAGTAATGATTGTAGAAATATTCTGGTATTGTCAAATCACCAATCTTATTTTTTTTTGCATCACAATAGAAAGCTTTTTTTCATTGAGTAATGTTATCCAGAATGAAAACTTTAAAATGATACATATTTAAGTCAACAACTATATCTAAGGGTAAATGTAGTAAAGCAGGCATCCAAAAGAAGCAGAACAATCATGGAACAAGATCTAGTATTATTCTAGCAATTAGAGGGTTTGTTTCTTTCAAGTGGACACAAATGTTAAAATAACAAGGGCAAGCAGTCATGAACTGCATTTATTTCAATGTGCTACAAATAATATTCCACGTATGACTGTGCATGGCACAGCCATTTAACTTTTCCTTCATTATTCCTCTCCTAACACCACAAGATCATAAAGTATCATGTAGCCCTTCAAGCCTGCGTATCATGCAAAAAGATCACAGCTTAGCCTGGACTTCATGTCTACTTTCACACTTGAGCCTCATACACCTCAATCCCCCTCTAGGCTCTCAGTCTAGAGTTGAGAATGCCAAAACTTTGCAGTCCTTTGAGTGAAAGCATATCCCTCGCTTCAGTTTTGAAAAAAAACTACAGCCCTAGTTCTAAACTATCCAGGGAAACAATAGCTCACCATCTACTCTTAAGCCTTCTTTAAACCTTTTATGTTTTAATGGTCCGCTCTCAAACTTTCTGAACTTCAGGCTATTTAACCTTATAGGGGAACCCCTCTCATCGCATTAGTCAATACAATGATTCTTTGATGTACTACTTCCAAAAGGTGAATATATCATACATTAGAGTGCATTTTATTTCTTGCCATTGCAAAGAAGGTAGACCAAAAGAAGAGGAAATATAAATGTGCAAAACAAACCTGACAAGAGTTTGGTAACAGAGTTTAATCCTCTCTTGGACAAATCAGAACAACTTCAATCTCTAAGTAACTGAAGTATTTAGATTGGTGAGGCGATATCTGTATTCTTGCTAATTCAATAATGTCCTGTTGAGTTGTATTAATACTTGCTTATTCTTCTACTCCAAACTCCTTGCTTTTTGTACTTGCATTCTAACTTGTCCCAGATTTAAAGAAAACACAAACTGAAGCACACCATCATTTTGGCAGACATCTGTATGTTTTTGAAAAAAAGAGCTAACTTCAGTTAATCCTTACTAATCTATTCTTCCTGGTTTGTCTCTTGAAAACCCGGACACCAGTTTCTAACATCTAATTCAATTGTTAAGAATATTCGAGGATAGACTGCTGTTTTGTTGGTCCAGATTTTCAAGTTGTATTGAGGGTTGAACTGTCAGCACTCGTCATTACTCTGTAATAGCAACCTCTGCTATCTGCCTAGTGCGTGAAAATTCACAAGCTGTTGTCAGTCATTCCCTGTTGTTCCATCAGGAATGCTGTTGACGTCCCACAGAAGACAACCATCTGGAAACCACTGGTGTGATGGAATTTTCTTTTTTTTTTTAGAAACATGATCAGTTTCACTGTTAAAATTCTGGAAAATATACTTTGTTAAATGACTGCATGGATTTTAAATGGTGTATTAAGTCATAACCGTTTTCTGGGTCACCTTCTGCGGCTCAGAAAACCTCTTTCTAGAATGTCAAATTTCTCCTTTTTGTGATAAAAGTCCCTTGACTTTAATTTGTTAAAAAAATTCTTTTAAAGGTTTTTTGCCATTTGATCACCTACTTAATCTCATGTCCGTATCCCAAGTTTTATATTGCGCTCTGTAAAGTGATCCAATTGTGAAAGATAATTAATGTTTTGGTATCTGAGAATTCTTCAGCGTTAACAGGCTGCCTAGCCTGAATGATGGCATAATTGATACTGGACAACATGTATCCCCTATAGCTGGCCCCCCATGAGGTAATTCATTGTGTTTCTCAAAAGTCCGAAATATCACTGCAGACATCTTTCTTGGAGTTAAGAGAATGATCACAAAATCCAGGCCATTTTTTTCCTACTGCAATTTATTTGCCCAAAGTACAATAAAATCCATAGTGCAGAAATTGGGCCAAAACTAAAAACAAAACAAAAACTCCTAAGAAGAGTTTAACATTCACCTGGATAAATCAAAACAACTGACTTCTGAAATAATTTGCATAGTTACATTGTTAAAGAAACAGTTATGTAAATGTTATTCAGATCTTATTAGAATATCAAAATAACTTATCATAAAAACTTCACCATCTGACATTTGGAAGTATTTGATCTTGGCAGGAAAGAATTTGAAGTTTCAATCATGAACCCAAATGTGAATTGGTGCCGGGCATTTACAACAATTGGATTTGACTGCAGCAAAGAGAGACTCTGAAAATCATATCCCAAAGAAGACAGCATCATATCATCTAAAGTTAGATCAAAAGCACTGCAAGCTTGCAGGAGGCACTTTGTTAAAAAGCTGCAGGAGAGCAAAAGTAACATCTCAAAATCAGTGTGATGAGATGATAGCATGCTGATATTGGGGGTAATTTTAACATAACTCATGCAGGGTGAAAGTTTAAGCTGTCCATTTTTCATCTTGCCTGATTTTACTTAAAAAAACAAAATTCAGCTCTGGCCATTTTCTTGCTGGCCAGGTGGGATTAAAATGACCTTTTAGGCTTCTAATTGACAGTGACAACAAAATATCAGCTCTGCATTAAGAAGTGCTTCAAATCACTTGAATCGATAGCTACAAATGATAGCCAATCTCTGCAATCATTGCATTGCAGTGTTCTATGCTATTTTCAAGTTAAATTCTTTCCAATAGTATAGTAGAGCAAATGAGAATGATTAATAATGACAGTTGTTGAGGTGAGTGAAACCAGTTACCTCAAACTGAGGTTTCTCTTCAGATTTATCTGAAGGCTTGCCTGTCATTTCAGCCTGTTCCTCCCACCCTTGAGCAGAAGCAGGTCCTTCTGCTACTTCAGCTTTCGCTTTATCCACTTTGGGACTTGCCATCTCCCTCTTGTCCTCTTTGGTCTCCACGGTCGCCAGGCAACTCAGACCCCCTACGTCACCAGATGTGTGAGCTTTGCCCAACTCGGCTATAGTATCCCACTCAACTGCTGCCAGCTTAGCACATACAGCAGAAGCATCCTTGCTTGCATGCACATTCATCACATGCTTTTCTTCCATCACCATTGCTTCCTGCATTTCCTTCATCGTCTTCTCCTGTTCGTGGGTTTCCATTTGCACCACTTTGGAACTTACTTCCCAATTCATTTCAGATTTCTAGAGGAGAGAAATAACTCCGCTATGACAATATGTAGTAAATACATAACAATTTTGCAGGTAAACAATTCAGACTAAGGCATAATTGTCTCCATCTTCCTAAATCCCTATGTGACCCAACCATATACTCAGTAAAATTGAAATTGAAAAGCATATTAATCAAAAGCGTACTCGACACTGAATATCAGAAGCATTGCAAAATTTTAAAATCATTTAAATTCATGAATATGGTAGTTTATTCAGTGTGGGAGGCTTACATAAATTGATTTTCTAAAAAAGATCTTCCTCACTGTTCTTTCTTAAGCATGCTTTAGGTGTAGAATACATACAAAAGAATGTTTAATATAAATATGAAAATGTAGAGGCATTTTGAGTTTTCTCCAATTATTTTCTTCCTTTTCCCAGCAGATTTAAACTCCCATGCACCACTGAAGAACTTTACATCCCTTAGTTTATCTGTACATATGACAATATTCTGCACTAGTAAAATTTTCAAAGCAGCCATGGAGTTGAACAATACAACATTTGTGGAGTCATAACAGAGTGTGGTAGGAAATAGAAGTAATTACTAGAAGCATACATTATTCCTGAAACTGTTCTGGAGAAGAATTTCAATTGCCACAATTCTCAGCATTAGTAAGTATTGTTGCAAGTAAAAATAGATAAGAAGTGCCATGCTCTTTAAATTAAAATGAAAGCAAAAGAAAGATTTTTCCAAAAAACGAGTCAGACAATCCACCAACCCTACTAGTGATTTTATTTGCACTCTGCTTGGTTTTACTTAATAATTAAGCTGACATTTGCAGTAAAGACTTGAGTGTGTGCCAAACTCCTAACAGAAATACTCAGTGCCAGTATACACTTTGTACTTGAAAAAAAAAATGCTGGAAATCACAGCAGGTCAGGCAGCATCCATAGGGAGAGCAAGCTAACATTTTGAGTTTGGATGACTTGATTACTATTTTTGTGTTTATGACTTTTGACAAATTTTTAAGTTTGAGTAAATTAGACAGAATAGAAAGTTATTATATTAGTGAATTTTAACTTTAGGAACTTAGTCTTCCATTGAGCAAACCCATACTAGTTAATGCATTCCCAGTCTCATTACTAATCAAATCTAACAATTTGTTTATTATTTAAAATTAAATCATACTGAATATAAATACATTTAAACTCAGTTAAAAGTAAACGAACAGAAATGCTAAGTTAATGGCACTAAACTCACCAATCATGCAGTCATGCATTTCAGAAAACAGAAGGCACGAGCTATCAAAATTAAGCAAAAACATACAGCGAAATGACAAAATATGGGCCCAGGAGTTATCGTAGAATTATGACAGCACAGAAAAAGGCTGAGGTCCACTGTGGCCACATCAGAACATGGCAACTCTGCTAGTCTCAATTTTCTGTCCTTTCATGTAGCTATGTAAATATTGTCTCTTCAGTTGCTTATCCCATTCCCTTTTGAGAGTCATGATTTAATTTGTCTCTGCCACCCTCTCAAGCAACACATTCCAGATCCTAAATACTCGCTGCATAAAATAATTCTTCATGTTGCCCTTGGTTCTTTTGCCAATTGGCTTAAATTGGTATCCTCTGGTCCTCTTGGAGCTGCTCGTGTCACCACTGTAACCTGAAGTGCAACAGAAAATCAGTTTCTCTCACTTCTGGCAAAATTGTGGTGACCAGCAGGAGCAGCTTCGAGGAAATTTCCAGCATAAACCTTTAAGGACTCTAATGCATGTACTGGTCTCTGTATTTGTCATTCTTGCTGGTTAGCCTGTGCACAAGTGCTACTATCGCCAATGCACTGTGAGGAAACTTCATTTCTGTGCATCTTCTGGGTTTAAATAAATTCCAGCTAAAATACACAAATTTTTTAAAAAAGATGACCAAGGTAAAACTATTGCCAGCACAATGACTTAAACAATAAATTTACTACAAATAACATGTAATTTAGCTTTCAAGAAGCATTCTTAAAATAAAATATGCAATCTGACAAGATGACCTAGTTGCAATTGTATGTTGCCAAAATCCCAATGTACTCCATACAGCTTCTCACACATTCAATTGGATATGCAATGTGCTTCAGGTAATCTCAAATCCGATGACTATGAAGAGTAGCTGGTACCACCATTCAAATGGAGAATGCATTATTGCTTAAAGTCAACAATGGAAACACTTCACAACACATTTTTCAAAAAAACTTACCAGAGTGAAGGTAAATTTTTGTTGTTACAAATTAAACATGACAGCTCTGCAGCTTCAGCACAGACTTGCCACAATTCAAGTTCCTGATCACCAGCTGCTTCACTGTGAGAAAGCACCAAGTGGAGGCCAGATATCCCCTACACAGATGGAAATTTGAGGGAGAATCATTCCCGGGTTCACTGTCGCAAATATCCTGGCCCCGTTTGAAAGTGACATTAGTAAAGACCTGGAAAAAGTTGTTTTCATAGCAGAAAAAGTTGCCAAACCCTGGAGGATGGCCTGGAGTTAAGGGATTAGAGAATAATCTGCTTCAAGCAACCCAGGAAAATATCATAGTGACAATTTTGAAAAACTGGTTTCAAAATGTTTTGGATGCTTTAGTTTACACAAACAAAGTTTGGACATGGCAGAAGAGGAGGTTCAGTCTAATTGCGTATTCATTTTTCAACTGGCATAGGAAGGCAGTGCAACATGAGGATAAAAACGTTGGGTGGCCAATGGTAGCAGTTGGAGGCAGGAGGAGATGTGGTAAAACATCTAAGGGTATATCTAGAGTATATAAAACTGCTATGGGGGGGGTGATGTGTGGCATGAAAAGAAGATAATTTAAAGGGATAAAATGCTGATCTCTCAGAGAATAATCCTTTCAAATCCAGTTTTCAAAAGTAAAGAAAAACGCACTGGCAGACAAAACAGCACAAGCATTGAGAAAGAAGTGGAAGCAAATAAAAAATGCCTTGAGCTCGCTTCAATGCAATTAATTTCTGTAAGGAATAAAAAGACACCTGAGCCCAGCTGTATGAAGAAGAAGAAGCCCATTCCTTTGCATCCATTTGTTTTCGAGCTGAATCTATTAGATTGGAGACGTCTACATTTTTTGAGGCTACTTCCGAACCAGACTGCTTTGTCTGTGTAGACACAAAGTCAACATATAAAAGCCAACTGACATATATAACTATGTAAACAGAGACAGAAAAAATCCAAGTTAGATATACAGATTGAAGAAATTTGAAGAGATTAATTATGCCATATGGGAAGAGCAAAAGGGGAACTGAAAAGAAGTGAAGGGAAACAGCCAACAGGGAAAATAACAGTTAATACTCCAGTACATCACACATTTCAGAGATTTTACTGGTCTGTAGGGATGTGCATGAGAACCTTGAACAAACATTATCTATGCAGTAAAGAGGTGATGGATCTATCTGCTGAAATGCAAAGGGGTGTATATTGAGAATGTCTACATTTTAAAGGGCAGTGTGCCTAATTTAACTAAACAGTTAGTAATGCCAAAAAGAAAAAAAAAAAGCACAACTTATCTTGGAGGACTGTCTTGGGGATCTGGGTGCAAGCAAAAAGCAGGTAAACTCAATGGTGGCCTTAGCTATTTAAGCATACCAAAGCCATGTCGCCTGAAAATCATGCGGATATTAAGACTGAGTGTCAAGCACAACAGTTACCAATAATCTTGATCCTGTTGACTCAGTAAAATAGTGGGCTGTAGCAATGGTAAACGTTGGCTCTTCATCAGTCTTCCATTTGGTCATTGAGGTCTCATATTTCTGCATTGATGGCTCCAGAGGAGAGCTTTCAAATCCTTTCTGTCTCGCAGTCTCTTTAATTTTCAGTCTACCTTCATCATCACCTCTTTTTGTTTCCCCCTTCTTTGAAATGTCAGTTCTTTCCAATGTGGACAGCATAACTTTCTGCTGTTTGACAGATGACACAAAATCTACCAATGTTGTTTGGATTACTATAAATAAATCTTACCTCATCTTGAGCTTTACTTCCTCCTCTACTGACAGGGGTCAAAACTTTAGAGATTCATTTTTAGATGTTGGCATGATTGGTGTTCCTCTCACCACTCCTCCCCTCCTCCCCACCACCCTTTTGTGATTTTTCCAAAGGTACAGATTTTGATTGTTATGTAAAGTAGGTTAGGAAGTAAGTTTTTTTTTTATATATACACACTCATCAAACCCATCCCTTCTCCTTTTAAATTTGCAAAATTATCAGCTTCAAATGCATTTTGAATCCAGAGGCAAAAATTTGATATGGACAGCAATCTGGCAGAGTGGGTCACTGATCTAAAGAATTTGCTGATTTTTATTAGTTATTGGATTGGACACTGGTGGACCTCATGGCAAGCAGGTATCTTTTTACCAGGTTACTGTCCACATGATACAGCCAAAACTCATTACCGATGTTTCCATAGAAATATAACCTTTGGTCAATGGTTTTCTCAGTACTTGAATCTTAGTTTGTGTTAATGGGATTTTAAACTTGTGCAATAAAACGCTTTTCAGACAGCAAATCTGTAAATTCACAGCATTTATGACAACATTGTACTTGCTTCTGAATAGATACATTTTTAACTGTAACATTACAACAATAGACCAACAGGGTACCTCCATTAATCTGTTTCAAAGGGGAAGTGCACTAGCACTGTATGATTCTGTTGTGAGAACAGAACAGATTACAAAGTGACATGTTTTCAAAAAAAATCACTCACATTAAAATAACTAACTATCTAAACAAGTAGAACACCTTACACGCTAAGCATTCAGTGTGGAAATCTAAGTAGAGCTCAGGATATAACAGCACTATGAACTGAAATTATATTGTGTGGGTGTGCAGAAATCCCTGGAACAAGGAAGACCTTTGCTCATGTCAAGAGCATACACTTGGGTTCTTCTGACTGTGGGAGTCTGTTATGCTGCAGCTGTCACAAGATCTGGCTGACCAGGAAATTCTTCTGCTCTCACGGCTTGTAAGCAGCATTTCATACTGTTTGGCTTTCTCATGACACCTTCTGTTGTCACCAAGTGCTGAGGTGGGACTTCCTGCCCAAAGTTAAGGATGCTACCAATGTATCACAAGAATTCTTAAGTGTGCTGTCTAACAGGATTACACAATTACTGAAGATGTATATGTAATATTCAAATATACATTTTATGATAAGAGAGAGGACAAGAAATGCTCAGAGCTCTTAGGTTATTTGCTGGAATAGCCCCAACCAAAGTTACAAATTATATCCTCTGCAACTATGATTGTGATCATTCCTCATCTTCCATGCAACCTTTGACACAGCTATAGAGTCATACAGCACGGAAACAGACCCTTCGGTCAAACAGGTCCACACTGACCATATCCCCAAACTAAGCTAGTTCCACCTGCCTGTGCTGGCCCTGTATACCGCCAAACTTTTCCTATTCATGAACCTATCCAAATGACTTTTAAACGTTAGGCCTGTACCTGCATCCACCATTTCCCCTCCTGGTAGTTCATTCCACACTCAAACCACTCTGTAAAAACATTGCCCCTCATGTCCTTTTTAAATCTTTCTCCTCTTACCTTAAAAATACACCCCCTTGTTTTGAACTCCACCACCTTCGGGACAGGATGCTTGTCATTCACCTTACCTATGCGCCTCGTGGTTTTATAAACCTCAATTAGGTCACCCCTCAACCTCCCATGCTCCAGTGAAAACAGTGCCAACCTTTCCAGCCTATTTTTATATCTCAAACCCTGCATTCCTGGCAACATCCTGGTACATCTTTTCTGAACCCTCTCCAGTTTAATAACATCCTTCCTGTAAAAGGGCGACCAGAACTGCGCACAGTACTCCAGAAGAGACGTCACCAGTGTGCCACATCCAACCAATTCCAATATCTCAACTGCTCCGATGAGGAGGAATGCAACAGACAAAAGATTTTGACGGACGCCCTCATGAGAACAGGATACGACGCTCAGCTCATCGATCACCAGTTCCAACGTGCCACAGCGACAAACTGCAACAACCTCCTCAGAAGACAGACACAGGATACGACCGATAGCATACCCTTCATCGTCTGGCACTTCCCCAGACTATGCCATGTTCTTCGCAGCCTTCAACATGTCATTGATGACGACAAACATCTCGCCAAGATCATCTCTATGCCCCCATTTCTCACCTTTAAACAAGCACCAAGCCTTAAACAGACCATTGTTTGTAGCAAATTAACCAGCCTTCAGGACAACCCCGCCACGGAAACCGCTGCAAGACATACCAGATCATCGACATGAATACTACCATCACACGAGAACACCACCCACCATGTAAGCAGCAGAGACTCATGTGACTCGGCCAATGTTGTCTCTCTCATACGCTGTCGGCAAGGATGCCC